TTTTTTTTTTTTTTTTTTTTTTTTTGGTAATGAGGATCAAACTTGGGCCCTTGTGCTTGTGAGGCAGGTGGCGGAACCACTGAGTCAAATCCCATTCCTGGATCTTTATAATCCATATTTTCTCTGTTCAGTGTATAATTCTACCCACAGAATCTGTCTTCAGGTACATTTTGACCAATAGTGTTTTAAAAATACATAATATTATTAGCTTATTAGCAGACTAATTTCTTAAAATTGCTAGATTAACTTGTTTTTTAATCTAAGGTTTGCAGCCTATCTTTCCTCTTAAGTTTTACTGTTAAATTGTTAATATATCCCTAACTTCATTTTCAGATGATACTGAAACATTGAAGGGGCCATTGTAGGATACATTTAACCTGTTTAAAATAGTAAATACTTGGGGCCAGGAATTTAGCTCAGTGGCACCATTACTGCCTCATAAGCACAAGGGTCTTGAGTTCTATCCCCAGTTCCAATACACACACACACACACACACACACACACACACACACACACACGAAGATGGTGGGCCGAAAGACCCTCACACACACACACTTGAAGATGGTGGGCTGAAAGACCCTCAAAATCAGTGTTAAACTTACCTCAAATGTTAAGGAAACTCTTTTGTGATGGGCAATTTAGCTTTTAAAAACTGTAGAGTTGCAAGTGACAGTAAAACAGTCCAAGATATAGGAAATAATGAATTGAAATGATCCATCTGAGTTGCCATAAAGACACAAATTGATAACCAGTCATCCTCCTGAGACAGTCCTGTGATAGAGCTAAAATGTTAATCAAAAAATAGTTTGAGATCATGGAGGTTAACATCCTTTATGGTATGTAATATGATAGTAATGAAAAGACACTGGAAAAGAACATTCTATTGAAAATGTCTTTGGAACTAAATAAAGTAATGATTTCTGAAGTTTATTTTTAAGTTGATTCTTCAAATTAATTGCCTGCTGACATCAGTATTGCAAAGCAGGCAACATCACTATTTCCCTTTATTTAGTTGAATTGTTATTAAAGACCTTAATCCAAAGAGTTCAGTAACACTGCTGCTGTTCACTTGGAAACTTTGGCAATATGGTATTTGCTGAGTATAAATAAAATCTTCAGGTTTACAAAAAGGAATCTGGCCACATTTGGGAGAATTTACTTTTAGTAACTTTGGTAACATGGCCGTGAATGTTAGACTAC